GTGGGGGGCTAAGTACTTCTATTAAAATGATATTAGCTAATATATGTCAGTGCCCTTACACACCTGCATTATATATTTAATGGACACTCCCCAAGCTTGAATTAAGAATTCACATGCTCACATATAAAGATGGGAACAACAATTACCCACAATTCAATTTTCATATGCTGCAACTCAACTACAATCCAATTTTTATATGCTGCAATTAATTGAGAAGCCATCTTTACTTGCATAATCTATCACTCTGGTTTGTAGTGGTTATATCCATTGGATAGTATCCATGGATATCTGTGGATATCCGTGACTATCCAAATATCAATTTTATCTCACAGTTGATTGATGGATATTCAACAGATATTGAGAAGAAGTATTTGTGAATATCCGCGAATATATGTGAATATCCATGAATATCCATGATACAAAAAATTTAAAAATAAAAATATTCATGGTGAAAAAAAAGCTCATTCCTTTAAAAAAAATTTTAACAATAGTATTAGTGGTGGTATTAATAACAAATAATAATATTATATTAATAGTAATAGTGGATGGTGTTAATGATAAATAATAATAATAGTGGTGGTATTAATAATAGTAGTAGCATTAATAATAATAGTGGTAGCATTAATAATAATAAATAGTGGTGGCATTAATAATAATAAATATTGGTGGCATTAATAATAAAAAATGAGTAATAATAATATTATTATTATTGAATTTAGAGGAAAACCAAGATGAGAGCTCTCATGTCAATAACAACCAATTAATTAATATCAATCCACAAAAAAATAATTCAAATAAACGTATATAGTAAATTCATTATTATTATATTGAGACATTAATATTGACGGATATTTGATGGATATTTGACGGATATTCAGGTATCCGAATATCAAAACTGGCAAACAGATCAAATGGGGTGTGGAAAATAGAAACAGCCCTAACTGCAAAAACATGATTTTGAGAAAATCAAAAAAAAAGATTTTGACCAAAAATTTGGTATTTGTATATCATTGTAAAAATAGGGGCTATTTTCCAAAAAATAATAATAACATAACATAAATAAAATAAAAATGATAATTTATATATATTAAATAGAATTTTTTTTATCAGGATTTTGGACATACTGAATAGCATTCATTCACTTTAAAAGAACTTGTAAATATTCTTAAAAGGAAGGTTTTGTTTATTTTTAAGGAATACCTTTAAATGGAGTTTTAAGAAATCAGGAAACTAAATTATTGAACCTTTAACATGTATAAATAACATTGTAATTTTCTTAATTTCAAGATTAGTTGATTAATTTAATTAATAGTTAATGAAATAATTCATAAATTGATCTTGACCTTGACTTAGACTTCAAAGTTTATATTTTCATAATGATAATAAATCTATCTCTAACAATGAATTCATACTAATCATGTGGATAATTATTTCTCTTATTTTATATTTATCTCTCTTTATTATTATTTTTATTTCTTTTTTCTTTTCTTTTAGTGAGGTAATATTTAATGAATTTTATTTAGGTAACATCCCTGACTTAATAGTAAAGAGGAGGACAGCTAGAAGGGCACCAATCAAGAAATTGTTATCAGGATAAAAAGGAAACATGCCTGTCTTAGACAGAAGGAAGTTTTGTGCTAAGAATGTTATCAGGACATAGTGTGAAATCTAAAGAAGTATTGTTTAATATTGCTTAACAAGGAATTGTTTAACAATAGTGAAAGATAGTTCCAAAAGTAAGTATGAATGTATATTCACAAAAATTGTTGTTATAAATGAATTGGAAGAATTGTTTTATTGTATTGACACAGGGATAAAATTAATAAATGAATAATCATTTTTGGACTCAGATCTGAACAATATAATAAAAAGAAAAATATTTTTTTGTTATTTATTATTTATAAATTCATGTTACATTATTTAATCCAAATACCCGGATTTGTGCCTATTACTATCATTTCTTATTTTAGTAAAATTCCATTTTCTTGGCATTTATATAGTTTGCTATTTTCCTTTAAATATCTCGAAACTTTACTAATTGAAGTGGGTATAGTTACTAAGCTAAAATTAACCCTTGTAAAAAATTACATATAAGTACGTTATTAACTCAAAATTGAAATTTTGGCAGTTAGGGTTGTTTCTATTTTCCGTGCCCCAGATATTGACTAAAATACAAAAAAAGGAACTATGTGAAAAAAAGAGAGATAATCCAAATATTAAAAGCATTAACTTTGGCCCAAGAATACGGGATATCTGTACAATTTATTTCAGATATATTGAAACAGTCTTCTCAATGGTGAAATTATGATGAAAGTTCTTCAAGTAATGTTAATATATATAGAAATAAAAAATCCGATTACCTGATGAATTTATCACCATTGATCAAAATCTTGTTGTTCAAGAAGAAATGACAGATGAGGAGATTGTGAAAATTGTAAAACAGCAATCAGAGAATGAAGATGACAATGAAACAGACGAACCTGAGCCAATAGTTACTGATAGTGAAACCATAAAAGGTTGGGAAGTGGCACTTAAATACATTCAACAAAAGTGACAATAAATTGAAAAGGAAACTTCTCATAAAAGTTTTCAAGAAAAAGTACAAACAAGGATGGATGATTATTTTAAATTGTTGATTTTTGTATAAACCTTCACACTTCAGAGCTGATTAAAGCTCCCGATTAAGCCAAATCGAGCTGAGTTTGTACTTGGCTCAACTTGGCTAGGCTCAAATATTCGTGTTCGAACATAAAAGAGTACTAGTACTAGCTCAAAAATTTAACATTATTTTTTTACGATTTTGAAAATAATACAATAATAATAAATTGTATAATGCACTTGAATCTTAGTACATTTAATAATTTTATGACAGTAAAAATTTCATTCAAGATTCCATGTTTTAACAATATTCTGCTTCTATTAAAAATGTTTTTAAATATGAACTTGTTTTTAATTAAAAATTCGTTGAAACGAGGTTTGACTGTATAAAATTGCTCAGATAATTAAAACGAAATGTAAAAACGTTCAAAAAATCTTTATTGTTATTGAGTTGAGCTAGAGTTTCTACTCGTACATATTCTTATTCGAATTATTCGTAATTATTCAATTTTCAATGTAATAGTAATTCGAAGCTATTTATGATCGTCGTACAAATTAACCAATAAATTTATCAATTTAAAAATTAGCCAATCACAGAGAAATTGTTCCGTGCTACACGATCAACCCTATTTTTATTGGCTGTAGGGATGGGAACAGTTCAACCCAAACCGGTTCAACTGGCAGTTTGGTTTACACATTTCAGGTAGGGTTTCTATTCGAATAAGGTTTATTCGAATTATTCGTTTTATTCGTTATTATGCTATCGTATTAATATTAATATTAATTCGAAATTCGAATAAGAATTTGTATTACGAATAGAAACCCTAATTTCAAACCTCCGATTTGAAACTAAGCTGGTTACTATTACTATTATACGTTACATTTTTCGAATCATTATTATTATTATAAAATATGAAATATACAGAGCCTATGTGACCGAAATTGATACACTGCCCAAAGGCAGTTCGTTATAAAGAGCAGTTCTGTTCTCGAAGGTCCAGTATAGATAGCTTTAGACTGTATTCATGATTAAAATCACTAGTACTAGTCGTAACGGATTTTTAAAATTTTTATTTCACAAAGATTGATAATCTTGACACAACGGATTTTAGATAAAATCTTTATTTGTTTCCTCTTTAGTACTCTAGATAATAATTTCAAGAATTGATCAGATGAATTTGATGAAAGTTTTGATGAAGACAAATTGGGATATTTTGAAATTAGTTGCACTTTGAACTGGATAAACACTTTGTTGTAGTTCGTCATTATTAGTAGAGAAGCTATCCTTTGAATTGGGTAAATACTTTGCCATCGTTGTTGTTTGTCGTTATTAGTAGAAAAAGCTGTCATTTGAACTGGGTAAATAGTTTGCTATCGTTGTTGTTTGTCAATTATTAGTAGAAGTTAAAAATGTTGAAAAATGTAATTAATACTGATTATTTCATTATTTCATTTCATATGAATAACAAGTTTTTTTGTGTTTTAAGGTCACGTTTTAAATACCATATTTCCAAGTCAACAGCAACAACAAAGAGCAAATGCACCAACAATATAGATGATCAAGGTTGAAGAAATAACAATGCAAAAGCAAATAATTGGTAGCAATATTTGTTCTAAAAGTGGCGAAAATGATAATAATTTCGCTTTGCCTCAACACAAAATTAATTCTGCCTACCTCATAAAACTCGTGGAACAACAATAAAACCCATTAAGAAAAACAAAGGCTAACAACATCTTGAGGTAGGCAGAGTTAAGTCCCAAAGAATAAATTCTTTTTAAGGGCAAGCTAGGCTGCTTCTTTCCTCATTGCTCGTTCATCATTTCATCACTTTTTATATTTTTGGCTGTATTTCTTTCTAATTACAATTATAATAATATAATTATCGTATTAAAATAATGATAGTAATAATCACAATTATTAAGTGATAATAATATATAACAATTAAATCACAATTATGAGGCTCTTACACTGAATGATGAATTATGATCATATTCTTAACAATTATGGTGGTGGTGATCAAAATTAGTTTTAAAAAATACAAAAATTCATGTATACATGTTTTATTTATCAAATATTCTTCTTATCTAATGATTTTTCCTTTTCCGTTTCAACAAACTGGAATATAACCATCAACGAATCCTCAAGATTTTCATGATAACTACAGTTTGATCATTTATCCTCGAAATCTGACCTAGAAAAATCATCAAGAGTCCTTTGAAGATTTCATAATGCAAGTTAGCATCCTTATCATTTGATATGTGTTTATTAACATATTCAATCTTAGAATTGAAAAAAAGTTTGTGTATAGTTTTTAATATTAATTAAGATAGCGCATATATTTATGTAATGCATGGAAATATTCATCTTCAATTTCTAATTTAGAACTCCCAATTCTCTATATTTAACTTTCATTATCATCATCATATTCTCCTTCCGATGGTAATAATAAATGTCTCTTTATATAATCATTTATAAACATGCTATTTGGATCCAACCTTTTTTGCAACTCAATAAATAAAGTTAGTTTAGGATATGTTTTATAAAGTTCTTTTGGTGTCATTGAATGTGCCTTTAACATTAATTATTTGCTTGATTAGTTAATTATTTGTTTGACAATTCAATTGTTCGATAAAGTAATTAGCTAGTTAGTTATTGGTTTACCTTTGCCCAATGTGGTCTGCCATCAAAAGATCTCATAATATTTTCATACGCGTTCCAATATTCCTCATAAGGAACCGATAAATAATATGGTCTAGAGTTTTATTCATTAATATTTTAATATATCCAACCCTAATTTTCAAATTATTCAATAGTCTCAAAAGTATACAAACCTATACATGATAATTCCAATGAAACAAACTTTTCTTTTATAAGCAGGACTCAACCAAACATCATCCTCATTGACAAATCTGACCTCAACTGGAAAATGAACTTTGATTTGACGATTATTAATCCATTCATCCAATTTTCTTATAGCATCAGCCGCAAACTCGATCGGCACAGCCCATTCATTAACATATTGGGGGAATAGACAATCAAAATTAAATATTTCATATGAGTCATCAACACGTTCAATTTTCTTCGAATGATTCAGTTTAAACATTCCTTTGGTTATTATTGGTATTAGATTTGGAATAAATTTTGATATGCACAGTGATAGTTGGTATAGATGATATGAAATCAGATTGTCTTTGATGAAATTGCTAGATTTTTTCTTGGGAGTCACCTTTTGAAAAAAAAAAAGATATGTTATAATTATTATTATTATTAAATGAGAGTGTGCGCATCTTCACCTCAGTGTAAATACCTTATTGACTCTATTAGCCTTCCAAGTAACACAATCATCAGTATGTGGAAACCACCAAAATCTAAAATGTTGAGCCGAATGAATCAATTGGTCCAAATTATCTAATACATTATTTAATTTTTCTGGCAATTGGATAGAATCCAATCGAAATGCTTGCTCACATCTCAACGTCACTCTAAGTATCACACCTAATGAACCAAGGCTACACAATGCTGCTTTAAATATTTCTTGATTTTCTGATTCAGAACAAGATATTAATTGATTTTTTGATGTTAATAACGTTAACGACACAACCTATGATAAATAGTAAATAAACATGTATTGATTGTGGTGGTTAGTCAATTGGTTAAAGCTAATAAAATAGATTATAAAAAAATTATTATTTTAAATCTAATCTCGATTAGATAAACCATCAAACTGGACTATTAATCAATTAATCTGTCAAATGTGCATTATCATCCTGTCAACAAATAAATTTACAATATCACGCAACCAACAAATAAACTTAATACCTGAGTGTGCATACATCCGAATTCTATTCCAGTTCCATGAGTTCCGGTTGAGATAACTCCACCAACAGTAAGATCAGATATTGAACCTAGATTACTCAAAGCCAAATCATGATTTTCAGATAATTCTTTATTAAGCTTTGAGAGTTCTATTCCAGCCTCAACAGTCACCAACTTCACCCCTTCCTCTGAATCATCACTAGGAACAACACTTAATATATGGTCCATTTTATACATACTTATCATGAATCCATCAGTGCATCCAATATCTGACGGCGAATGTCCTGATCCAATAATCTTTATTTTTCTATTATATTCATTTGCCAACTCTATAATCTATAATATTTAATTAAAATTAATATAGTTAACTCAATATGATAGTTAATTGTTAATTAGTTATAATTAGGTTAGTTAATAAGTAAATGAAGTAATTAATGAATTATTTATTTATATAAATACTTTAACAATATCTTGTTCCGACTCAGGTTCAAAATATAATTCAGGTTGACAATTTATAGTTTTTGCCCAATTAGAAAAATGTTTTTTTTTAACTATTTCTTCAAGTCTTTTATCCGTTAATTCGATCATTTTTTTTCTTTGTTTTTTTTTCGAAAGAAAAAAACTTTTTTTTTTTTTTGAATAAAATGTTATTTATATATTTGGCAAAAAAGATTAGTAATTATGAATGACACCATTGTTTTAAACTCGATTTATCTTGTTATTAATCAATTTAATTATTTAAAACAGTATAGTTGACTAACAACTAATCAAATACACTGATAATCTACATTATCATGCAATTAATATTACAAGAAAAATGTATTTGGGAATGATTAAACGATAGTAATAATAATAATAAGCATTTCTCTAAATAAACTTGATGTTTGTTGATCCTTCCCTCCTCCTTTTCTATTTTCACGTGTAACATTAAAATCGATACTCGTGCAACAATTCGATCCATTCATTGTATTCGTATAGTGTTCACCGTTTTAAGGAAAGGAATTCTTTAGATTTACATATCGATTTAAGTTTATTCAAAATGATAATTAAAAAAGTTACATGATTGTTTTAATAATTTAAGCAATTTTGGTAATTATTTATCATTATTATGTAAACTTTAATATTCAGCAAGCATATTTATTACGTTGCTAATAATCTTACGTGTCAGCACTAATGTTACTAGTATTACGCGCCCCGTCAAACAATTACGTGTTTGTTCCCGCCTCCCAAAAAAATTTTTCTTGATTTATTAGTATTAGTACTATTTATTAGTAAAAAATTTTTTTCCTTCATTTTTTTACTTTACATCGTCGTCGTCACTTGCCCAAACAACAACAATAACACTAATTATTATTTATCAATTATCATATTATCATATCATAAATATTCCACCACTAATTCAGTAATTAATAATAATAAATATTCAAACTAGTAACATAACTATATTTCGGCCGTTATTTTCAATAGAAATATAAATAGAGAGACTTCACCTCATATATAAAATTTTTTTTTTGTTTTTGAAAAAATTTTCTTTTCAACCCCTTTTTCTTATTTTATTATTTTTTTTTATTATTTAATAATAATTTTCCTTAAAAAAAAAATAATTTAAATATATCCAACAAAATTTTATTTAAATTTATTTCTAAATATCAATTTTAAAAAATGAGTGACAATTCACCTTGCTTTCCATTATATAGAAACAATTTTCACCAATCTACTTTCCACCATCCTAATGGTACCATTCGTAACATAAGATCTTTAGAAGATCATAACAACAATCAATCTCATCCTTCTTTTCAAAGATTTACCGCTTTACATCAGCAGCAACAGCACCATCATTTATCAAAAGGTGTGTGTATATATATATTCATTTATGTAAAGCCATAGATCCAGTTAACTAACGTTCTTAAATTATACTCATTTTTCTAAACTCGTAGTTACTGGTAAAAGAAAATCCGGTGAAGATTCTGACGATTCAATGGGTGAACCAAGAAGCCCGCCTTATTCTAGAAATGAAATGGAAAGAGATAACGGTGGCAATGGTAGCAACAATAACAACACCATCCATAAAAGAACAAAGCTTGGTAACGATAAAAACTTTCCTTTAAGTAAACTTTTAGGTAAATATTGTGAATTAAATCCATCATTTTTTATTTTTAAAATCTCCATCTTTTATTTCCCTCCCATCCTTCGATCCCTTCGTTAATTTACTCACTCGTTCGTTCATTCATTCATTCAATAGCTACCCTTGACAAATCTCAACTGTTGTCGTTAATAAACAATCTTATTGATTCACACCCTAATCTTCAATCAGAAATTTCTTCAAATGTTCCTAGACCAACAATTCATTCAGTATCAACCGTTTTGGCAGGATTGGAAAAAAGATATCACGATAGTTTTCCTTACTCTAAATGGGGTCATCTTAAAGACGATTATAGTTTCAATAGAGTTAAACCTGCTATTTTGGATTTAAAGGTGAGAATTGTATTGTTGAATATTGATTATGATAAAGAAGATTATAATATTCATGGGCGTATCATATAGCAACATGATTAATATATTTATTTATATGAATATAAATACTTGTAACATTTAACTTACATCTATCTATATACATGTACATATAAAAAAAAAAATAGGCCGCAATTATTGATTATGCTGATCATTTCACTTCTTCCGAGGAATTTCCTACAATAACATTCTCATTTCTTCACCTAGTAACTGAGATTGCTCATCGATTACCTGAATGGGATAATAGATCACACAACGAGATCAAACATGATCTTTATTTGAAGTTGGTCGAGTATTGGCAAAAAGCCACCAGAGAAGCTGCAAACAAAATTAGCGATGGGAAAATATACGGACAAACAGTTGTGAATGAATGGGCGAGAAAGTAAATATTAATGGTTTTTTTTTATTATGTAAATAATAATTGATTATTACAATTGTAATTATATGTGATTATGAATATTATATTAATATTTATTTTTTTCTATTTCTCTCCAACTATTACAATAATTAGTCTTGAACAACATAATAATAATTCAAATGGAATTTTTCAACAAACATTGAACGAGTTTATTGAGAAACTTGGATGGATTATTGGTCTTCATGCAATACAACATTCTTTATCATCATCATCATCATCATCATCATCATCATTATCACCACAAGGTGCATCACCTAATTCTCCTTTCCTTACATCATCTGGAAATGGTGGGATGATCGGAAATCATCACCATAGCCATAATCACCACCAGTTCTCTCGTATCTCAGTTTAAGATTGTTTTCGGAATTTTGGAATTTACTCAATAAAGAAGTAAAAATAAAAGTCATAGATTATTGTCATGTCATTTAAATATTACATTATTATTATTATTCTTTTAATGCGTTTATATATATAGATATATATAGATAGAATTAGTAGTAGTAAGTATGATGCAGTAGCTGTGTAGCAGAGAGAACCCCTTAAGAATATATATTTATTTTATTTTAATTAATTCATATTTTTCAATTTTCTAAATTTTTATAATTAATTTAGCTTAAGATTTCAATTAATGCTTGATTTTTTTTATTTAATTTGGGAACAAAAAAATATACATTTATTAGAGAATTATATATAATATGGACATTAAAGTTTTTTATTTTATTGATTATCAAATTTCATTAAGTTGGTGTAGTTATTAAAAAATTTTTTTTTCTATTACTATAAAAAATAAAAAGGTAAGTGTATTAAAATAATATGAAGAAGATAAATTTAAATAAATGTAAATATAAATAAATTTGATTTATGTAAAAAAAAAATATTGTGTCAAAATACTTGATCAGTTTTAATCTTGCGTATCCAGTGTATACAAGTCAGATATATATATATATATAAAAGCCTTATCAACAATTTTTGTGATCAATAAAAATTTTTTTTTGTAACGAATTAATCTAAATATGTATAATATAACTATATATTCAACAATTATTTCCTTTCAAGCAAAACAAGGCAAAAAGCCAAATTAATTGATTATTTCTTTTTTCTTTTTCTTGTAAATGATGATGGTGATGGTGATGGTGATGATGATGATGACGGCATGTTAGGATTTAATAATTTAAATTCTAATGCGTTTTTATCGACTTCGAAATCAGGATTAATAAATAATTCCTTGAATCTACCATCTTCAAGTAGGTTCTCACCCTATAATAAAAAAATCGGAGCGAATGTTATATAAATATATATAAATAAAGATTATGTATTTAAAACATATACATCTCCGTATACAATTTTATATTTAAATTAGAAATAATAACAATATAAAAATACCTCTTTATTGCTCTTCATCTTCTTCATCTTCTTTTTGCTGTTTTTCATCATCTTCTTATTTTTATCTTCCTCCTCATCATCATTATCATCATTGCTATTATTTAATTCTAATTCTAATAAACGACTTGCCAATTCTTTATTAACTTTTGGTAATTTCTTTGTGACCCGTATACGTGATTCACGTTCTTTCTCCAATTTTTGTTTAATTATTTGTTCTCGATATTCTGAATATGCAAATGGATTTGCTATTGATTTGGCCTGAAAAAATTGAGTTAGGTTATAATGATAATTATGATGATAATTATGTGGGTTAGAATAATTAAACATATATAAGTAAATAATAAATATCGCATTTCCAACATCTAACACAAGACATAATAATAATCACTTTTTCATATAATCGTAAATCTACAAAAAATCCATGCATATACGGCCTCAATATATTTGTCCCTATTAAGTGCTCCATACCAAGTCTATATAATATATATATGCGAGTGAGTAATTATTCAAATAATAATCCATGATATTAATGATGATTCATAATAACAACATTACTTTTCTAATTCTTTTCTGGTAACAAATTTATAATCATCGTATATATTTTGTTGTGGATTTTCTTCCAATTCTTCCTATTTCAATACAGATGTATAATAAATAAATAAATAAATAAACAAATATTATATATCATTAAATAATTTATTGTTTCCTTCAGGTAATTTTCTCTACCGTTAAATTATCCAAGAATGAGCACCACTTGGGTGCCGGTCCCAATGCTGGTATATAATATGCGCCAATTTGAATACCTTCATTCGCAACAAAAATTAATCCAGTTTCTGGTATAATGCATATATCATTAATATCAGTGTTGGGTTCTACTGATGTGAAATTTGTACCCTGAAATTTATTTTTTTTTAGATAAATAAATAAATATCATATTATAATTATATAATATTCATTTTCACCGAAAATAAAATTACGATTACATCTTCTGCGTCCCATATTTTCATTATTTTACAATCAGCACTAATAACTTTGTTTCTTCCTTTATCACCAATAACATCATCATACCATTTCAAGTTTTTTATCGGATATCCGTATTGATGATCTTTGACAAGCCAAGGTCTAGAAGCCCTTAAATCGTATAATAATACATGGCCAGTCGATATTCCTACAGCTAACGACAATCCATCAGTTCTGTATTCCATTGCAGTAACACTGAACCCATTATTCTTTTGTTGTTCATTACCACCGACCCCATCATCATTGGTAGTAGTAATATGTGATGGTAGTTTGGGAGCCAATAAACCAACACGAGTTTTAGATCTAGGATCCCAAAATTCTAATGTTCCATCTTCTGTGCCAAATCCAAACAATTGATGAACCGGATTAATTACACTGACATTAACTCCTGATGGTGAGTTAGTTTCGATGGAATTTAAAAACTTTCCTTGATTCAGATTCAATCTGTAAACTTCATTTGATGATGCTGCTAATAACAAGTCACATGTTGGATAATGATATGCCAAATCTCTACCAAACTTGATAATAAATTTATCAATATGAATATTAAATATAAAATTTACAATAATTAACTCGGTACCTTTGGAATTCTAGTTTTATAGTAAATTCCACTTTGTGAATGAAATTCTATAGTTCTATCATTTTGTAAAAATACCGTTTTTGTCCAATCATCAGATAATGCCTTTATGTGTTTATTATTTCATACGTATATATATAAAAACATATAAATATATTTGTTTAACAAACTAAACGAGATGTTTAAATAAATAATAACACTAATAATATATTTATATACCAAAAAATTGACATTTTCTGAATCAGTATGTCGGCTAAATTTCATTGACATTTCTGCATATTCAAATACTCGAATCTGAGGTTTGTATACTCCTAGATTCAATAAAAGAAAAATTAATATTTCATGCTAATGAATTACTATAATGATTGGTTAGTTGATCGAGTTTACCAGTAGCCATAACAAATCTTCCATCTTTTGTTGTCTTGATTCGAATTGAGGCTTCTGGGAATTCAAAATCTTGAATAAGCTCGACTCTTGATTGCCACTCTATATAAGTATGAGGGAGAGAAAACCCTCATTAAATCATTATAACATAATTAACTAATACGCATATTGCCAAAAAATAAAACCTGGATCATCTTTTAAGACTCGCTTTCTCTGTCTTGCTAACCAATCGGGTATTGAGCAAGTTCCCGAGCCGGAAACTGTATAGATTTTTACATTATTTGGATTTGAAACTCGAAGAACCATTATTTTTTTTTATTTTTTTGTAGATTGTAGATCATTCATAAAAAAATAAAAAAAAATTGGTTTTTTTGACTATTTATATTTTGTATATTTTCGAATGCCTATAAACAGCAGGGTTCATCATTAAAGCTGTCTACGCAAGTTTAATTCATCAAAGTTTCACGAAAACGCATGTTATCAAAAGTTTCATTAATGTTTGCCAATTATTATTAGGGTATATATAAATGCATCTTCATCAATACATTTTTTTTTAAAAATATAAAACTTTCATCTTCTTTGCTATAACCACCAGGTAATTCTCCAATACCTTTTATTATTATGATTACTACAGTTTTCTCAATATCATAACATTTATTCTTAAAGACTGATCTAGAAAACCCATGTCCAACCCTCCTGAAGAATTAATTCAAGATCATAAGGTAATTATTTTTATTATAAACGACTACATTCTGATTTTGACCACCAACCCAGTTAAAAATTAAAGATTTCATTTTTTAATTTTAATAGATTATTTTCCTACCCTTGGACCTTTTGAATCAATGATTTCGGTTGCAATTCATTATTACTGAAATAAGTTCTACATAAATTTCAACATTAAAAATTTTTTTTTAAATTGTCCAACTTTTTTATAAAAATCAGTTGAAGTAATTTGATTAAATCTTATGAATGGAATAACATCCCCCAAGATATTTTTTAATTCAATAAAATCGTCTTCCTTCCATTTTACGATATCCTTTTCTTCCAATTTGTCCAATTCCCCATTGGATCAAATAATCCTAAATATCAATTTCTGATTAATTCTAAATTCTGGATCATGTTAATCATCTCCTTAGGACAATCTTGAAGTAATTTTATTGATACTCTGATGAAATTTTACAAAGATAAATTAAATTCTGTCGAATCTATTCTTTTTTTGCCAACAAATCCTCTATATTAATTTATATCAATAGTTTCTTGCAAATATATCTTTTAATAATAAAAATAATAAAATGTTGATTACGCCAAAAAAACTTCAAATATTTCTGGAGAAATATTCTCTTTCAAATAATGTAATACCATTTCCAGATATTTTTACCTTAATTATTTGATAATGCAGTTTTGAAATATCTTTCTTTTAAAATATCAGAATGAGCTTTGAAAGTTTTAATATTCTTGTCTTCCCAACTTTAAATTCTACGTCATATAAGTCAGTCTCGTTCAATAATTCTGTTAAATCATTTATAACTCTGCCGATATATTTTAATGGTAATTGTCTTCGTTGATTATTAATTTGACACTTTCTAATGATGTAAAGCTATTGGACATTTTCTGTTTAGAATTGCCGCTGACTAATTCGTCAGTTCTTGAAAACTGGAAAATCTATAGGGTTAATTTAAATCTGTATAGAGAAAATTATTTTTTGATTAATCCCAATTTTAAGATTAAAGGCTTCATTTTTGAATTCAATAAGTTTCCTTTAAGGTTTTGCATACTAGCACATGCCCGTGCCTAACGAAAAATTTAGGGCACAGATACAGAGACGGGCATGAGTACTAGTCATAATAAAAAAAGTTGGGCACTTGGGTGGGTGCCGACACTAGTGCTCTCGCACAGTGCCAATGGTGCCCGGCATAGAACCTATTACACGTTTACTGACAGTATTTAACTAGCAAAGAAATATTACTTTATTTCGGTTCAGAAACACAATTTATTAAAGTATTACTTTTTGTTTCTGGAATCGAAGTAAACACAGAGGTAAGTCTTATTTGGAAGTTTTTATTACATAACATGTCAACATTAATAAAAAATATTATTTTGCGTTTAATTAAGGGGAAAAAAAGATTGAAAATGTTTAATATTTAGTAAAGAAAAAAGTAGCAGAGAAAAGAGTTCTATTTAAACTATTTATCTCCCCATTCTGCGAAAATATAAATTTATTTACTAAAAATGTCATAAACTCTCGTTACAGTCAAACTTTGTCACAGCGGATGAACGGGGAGCATAAGGAAATTTTATTTACAATCGGTTGTGGCAAGATTACTAATTATAATTATAATCTTGCCACAACGGATTTTATATATTTTTATATGTGAAGCAAAAATCCGTTATGACAAGATAGTCCGTTATGGCAAGGCTCGCTGTGATAAGGTTTGACTGTATTATAAAAATATCCAGCAAGCATGACTGGCACGTGCCTAAAATGTACAGGCGCAGTCACCGAAGCATTGGTGCCTAATAAAAAAATGATGGGCACTAGTTCCTGGCGTGATGTCAACAGTGCCCGGCATGATGCCAATGGTGTCTCGTGTCTGGATGGGCATTAGTTTCTTTCTATTCTTTTGCACATCAACAAACTTGGTTTTCATTTATCATCACTATTAGGATATTGAAAGAAGCACTTCGTATACTTTTTTATTAAAATATTTTGAAATGGTGTAATTATATTATGGAAATCAGTCGAATTAATTATATTGAATAACGTTATCTAATATATATACCTCACCTCATTAAAAATCATTATCATTCGACTCTGAACCAATTTCCCCATTTAATTAATAACATGGTTCCAAATATCAGATTGCCATCAATATTTAAATTAAATTTTGTTGAATTCATTAAAGCATAATTCATCACAAGCTACAAATAGTTTTAAATTTTCACCTGATACCAAATTATCTATATTAATATCTCCATTATAAATATATTTTTTAATAATATTATTATTATGTGATAAAGATTTTTCTCAAATAAAATTCCATCATATATGTTATTCATTGACTCTGTTTAATCATTTTATAACCTTGCTGATATATTTTAATGGTAAATTGGCTTTATTAGAACTGACTGATGAGGTTGTTAATTAACAATTTAATATTTTTTTTAATGATGTAAACAATATAATTTTGTTTTTGTGAGGGTAACATTTTTTTGTAACTTTATTTTAATTACAAAAAAATGAAAAATTCCGACAATTAGTCATCAAATGTCGCACATGATCACAAACTAATCAAAATTATGTTTACACACATAGACTCTCTCTTTGACAAAATTTTGTTGGTGACAAAGTAAATTTCTTTGATGTTTATGGCTTATTCCTATTACTATGCAAATGCAAAGAGCTCTCCAATAATGATGAAAGTGGAATAGTGATGGGCTGGGTAGATGTGTAACTGTTATAAAAATGTTATACAACAATTGTATGATATTCAAGTAATAGGTTGCTAAATTGTTATAACAAAAACTATCTTGAAACAGAAAACAATTATATTAAGATATTTAAGATAGTTAATTGACGATCCTATTAATATGAACCAGATCATCTTAATTTTATTACAAAAATTCGGAAGAAAAAATCCACAGATGCCCCAAACTAAAGTTTTTTATTTTCTTATAAAAGATACAATTATTATTATTATTTATTATGCAATTGTTTTTGCAATAAGAAATTTTTATAATAATAATAAAATGGAAATTTCTGGATTTTTTTGTCTTGATAATCAATCTTATCTGGTAAAATGGAAAATGAAAAAGATAGAGTCAGTCAACGACTTTAATAAAAAAAAACGAAATTAATAGGTTTCACCGCCTTAGAAAAACTTGTAATAGATAATTTTAGGAAAATGAATAAATGTATAAATGCTACCCTTTTTTGGTAATTTGGATAGTCTAATTGCCATCCATGCATGCATGCTTGTATTCATGCAATAAATAAATAACAAATAGAAACATAGCCCATTATATAAGGTCTTCTTTTTCTACTCTCACTATTGTAAGAAAGAGGACCGAGAAAACTCTCTACATATTAACATGAATCTCGAAAAGTTGATTGGTGGATTTTTTTGATCTACAAAACTAATTTTTTCCCGTCCTAATACTAAGTACTGTAATAATCAACGATTTAGATTCATTGTGTAATTCTAAAAATACTCGGTCTAAAGACTTCCTAAATTTTAAAAGCATGGAAGTCATTTTCCGTCCCACCTTTAAAAAAATAGCTCTATTAGTTGATAGAATAGGTCTTTAGTTTTAATGTAATAGAGAGATTTTCTCAAAAAAATTATTTGTTGTAGAGTTCTATTCTTTTTTAAAACATGTACTTTACTATCTACTATTCATGAGGGAATTTGAGCACTATGATCATTGCTAAATTTAGACTAGGCTTTGAGCATCATTACTAAATTTAGACTAATACTTGATATCATATCTAAATTTGGCATTAAGGAAAATTTAACAGATTTATTATTATTAAGACTTTATGATTTCTAATTCAAAACATCACAAGTGAAGAATTGTATATAGTGGTGGCCTTTTTCTACTGAAAAGTCTTCTTCATATATGAAAATTAAATTGGACAATCAAAAAAATGGCTAATTGCCATGAAATGATTTAGAATTCAAGAAACTATTACATGACTAAGTTTTAAAAAATCAAATTTCAAATTAAAACGCAGTAGAAGGAATATAGAACGAAAATTTTTCACAAAGCAATCTAATAATATTTCTTTTCACAAAAATAATATTAGAGAACTAATTAAATTCATTATCAGCAAGCAACAACTTTAGTCATATTAATTAGTTAAACTTTTGGTTCAACAAATAAATGCAAAAAAAAAATTGTCAGTATATAAAACCGACAGAAAATCATCTAAAATGCGCGCGTCGTGTCAACGTTTTTTAAATGCGAAAAGTAATTTTGTTAGATAACGACAGCCTATTTATATCTAGAACAGACAGTTTAATGAGTCGGACTTTCATTCACTAAAAGAGAGAAATCAAACTATTGGGAATTTGAGCTCGTGATAATAATAATCAAACAGGACAAGATGATAAGTTCATCGATAGAATCTGCATTACCAAACAATTCTCCATCAATATCATATATCAAGTGCTCAATTAAATTTGCTTTACTATTATTAGCAAGTGAATCCAATTTGTTTTAACTCTGACTTTTTCTGCATTATGTTCTTCAAAAATGATTTATTCTGTTGAATTTTTAATTATTGTTTTTTTTAATTTTTTAATTTTTGAAAAATAAAAAAAAATATAAACAGAGAAAAAATAAAGATTTGTTTTGAGGGAATTGGGGAAAAGAAAAAACAATATATATATATATATAAAAATATTAAAAATTTACATTGAGAAGAGTGATGTTTATACTGTATATGGTTTATGTATGTATGAATGTATGAAATGTGATGATAAATGATAATGAATATAAATTTTTTTAAAAAAATATAAAAAAATAAATTATGCTTTTAATGTATGTGCAAAGATTTTTTTTTATGTATATAAATAATATATTTTCAAATAAAATAAAATAAACAATGTTCCAAATCTATAAATCTTTTTGTTCTTCTTTTCAAAAATAAGAAGATTTTAATTTGCTATAATAACTCTTTGGTCTATTTGTTGAATAACGGGTGCAGTGTTAGTGGTAGAAGAAAGTGGTGAATGAGCAGATAATGATAAAGGTGTAGATGAAGATGTGGAAGATGTTGATAATGATTTTGTAATGGTGGTGGAATGATTAATTGATATTTGCGATGCTGATGTTTGTGATGTTGGTGACGGAGAAGAAAGTGATGATGATCCATAAGTTGAAGTTATTTGACGAATCATATTATGATCCAAAGAACTACTACGTCTCATTCTTCCACCTCCAATACGACTATTATTATTGCTTATACATTTTTGGTGATGCTGTTGATTATTACCTGGATTATTGGAACTGGATGAATTTTTTGAATGATTACTACTATTGTTGTTATTATTTTTGTTGTAATTGATATTGTTGTTGTTGTTGTTAGTTGATGAATCTTTGCGATGATTATGGTGATGTCTTTTATGATTATGATGATGATTGTTGTGATTTAATGATGATTTTTTACGAGTAGAACTATTTCTGCTCAAATCACCACCACACCCACTATTATTATCAGCTATGTTACCGTCAGCTACATTATCAACGACATCTATTACACCACAATTGCATCCTTCACTACTAACATCAATACCATCATTATTATTATTATTGATATCATTAGATGAAGATATTAATAATGAATGAGTACTATAAGATCTACCAGATAAACTACGTTTCAGTCTAACACCGTTAGCATTAGCACGACGATTCTTAAAGGAAGAGGACGATTGCATCATTTTTTGTAGTTTTTCTTGAATATCATCTGGAATTATTAATAAACCTGCAGCTAAACTAACACGACGTTGACCAGTAGATGTTGGAATAGTAATTGATCTTGCTGGAGGAGATGGTGGTAACATTGATGTTGAAGAATATGATGATGTGGATGAGGAATTGGTAAGAGTTGCAGGATTTTTTGATGCTTCATTTGAAATTTTTTCAGAGTTGTTGTTGTTGATAATATTTATCAATGGAATATTATCAGGTTTTGGTTTTTTATTACTTTTGTTAGATAGAATTTCTTTTGCGACTGATCTTGATGTTGAATTTGTTGGATTTGAAGTATTATTGACAATCTTACTTGTATTGTTATTATTACTGCTATTAATAACATTACTTAAACTATTATTACTATTACTATTACTATTACTATTACTATTGCTATTGCTATTGCTATTATTGATTTCATCCCAATAGACACGATTCTGAGCCAAAATAACAAGAAATACTGTTGCCTGATTTAAAAACAAAGCGAATGCTTCGAAATAAGGCTTGACAACAAAATCACCAAATCCTAAACTAATTTGGGGCTGTTGAGCTTGTTCTCTATCCATATTTGGGGAGACAGGCAGATTTTTTTGCTTTTCCAAGTCTCCTTGTTTGAAGAATTCCTCAACAACACAATCTGACCAATGTTTTGAAATGTCCCACGGTCTCACTGTGTTACTTAGGTCTGCTGCATGAAGTAATACTTTTAAGAAAATCTCTCGTTGTTCTTGATCTAATATTAGAAATGAGGAGGGGGAGGAGGATGGGGAGGAAGAATGGATTGTTGATATAGGAGAAGATTCGGGAGATGAAGCAATTGATGAATTTGATGAATAACAACAAGAATCGATACTGTTGTTATCATCATTATCATCATCCATTTCCAATTCCAATTCTGTTTCTTCCTCATTATCAGAAGAAGAACATGACGATGAAGAAGAAAATGAATCAGATGATGGTGATAAACAATAATTTTTTTTTGTAGAGTGCTTTGTGGATGTTGATTTTTTGGTAGTTTTTTTTGATGACAATGATGATGATGACTTTGTTGATTTAATAATTTTGTGCAAAGATTCCAATAAAGTAAAATGATGCATCATATCAGTAGCCAAAATCATTTTCTCTATTAACGATCTCAAGAATGAATCGATTTCTTTTTGATCATTACCCAGAAACTCGATATTACAACTGTGCAAATTGCGAAACAATTTATGTTTAGTCAAAAGTTCCATTGTCAACGCACAAGAATAATTCTCAAGCACAGATTGATTATTATATTTGATTGCCAATGGTGTTTTTGCATTAACTTGGTAAACATTATTCAAACCAGGATGACCAATATCATGACACAAACCAGCTATCATCAAACAAATTGAATCCAATGGTGTCAAGTATTTTGCAGCACCCAAGTCTGTTAGCATGTAATATAGCACAGCTACAACGTCCACAGCGTGATAGAACGAGTGGTATTCAGTGTCGTGATAACCTTTCTCAACGTCAATAATAAAATCCAACATTTCTGAATTGCGTATTTGTAAACATTCACTCAAATCCAACTTCACCATCATACCCAACACTATTCCATATAACTCTGGTATTGACCAATCCCATACATTAAAATGCATTCCCAGCGAAGTTAACTTGTTATCTTTAAAACTTAACATTGTCTGGAAAAACAGGAATAGTAATGGATGAAAAAAGTCGGACGAGGAAACAAGAGTAAAGAAAAAAAAGGAAGGTGAATTAGAAATATGTTTAGAGAATAAAAATATATTTAATGTACTCATTGGAAGAACATTTGAAAAAAAAAACTTACTTTTTCACATATTACTAATTTTTCAAAAGGTAATGAATTATGTTTTAACACAAGCATTATGTCTATTTTAATATGTCGTCTATATGTACTATCTATTTGTATATATACTTTCTAAATATTTTCTCGGTATTTTTACAAAAAAATAAAAATATTTTTCGTGAAAATAAATTGTGAACAAAAAAAAAACGTTGTTTTTTCAATTATTTATAATAAATTGTTAGAAAAAGATTTTTTTTTTCTTTGTTGTTGTAGACAAAAACAAATTATTTAAACATATTTAAATATATTGGATGGATATATGAATAACCTTACACAACATTTAACGTGGTTTTAAAAATTTTTATTTACAATATAAATAATTAATATAATTAATATAAATAAATAAAATAAAATAAAAAATAAAAAAAATATAATCAATTTAAAATTTGATGTATGGTGTAGATTGCATATTGCATTTTTATATTTTTTTATCCGTTAATATTTCTTTAGTTTTTTTGTATTTCTTTAAGGTTTACGAGAAATTGTTGAATTGATGAGAATAATTTCTAAAGGTTTTTTTTTTTTTGTAAAATCTTTATAAATATATGACAATAATAATATGATTGTTATAAATGGAAATATGATATCAGATAATAAGTATAATGATGATGAGAAAATTTATTTATTTGGGTGAACAAGTAATAAAAGAACATGAGGCGGTGCTAATATTAAAAAATGTTTTTTAAATGATGGTTATTTGATTAGCGGATTATTTTAGGTTGTTTTTTTAGATAAATGGAAAAATGTAAATTTTTCTAGGAAAGAAAAATTATTATTATAAAAATAATTGCACAAATAAAAATACAAGCTCTTTTTGTAACACAAACTTTGAAGGAAGAAGAAATATTACGTATTGGAGCTAGAACAAAGAAAATAAAATTACAAAAAATTTTAAGTTTAGATTTGTAGATTCTGATTGATTAAAAGGAACACAAATAATCTCATTCATAATTTATTCATACAATTTTCTTGTATTGGAATGAAACCCTTAAACTTGAACTTATTAAAATTAAAAAAATTGAAAAAATCTCCATTTTTTTACTATTACTATTTTAATTAACAAATAATAATAATCTAAAAATATATTCTAATTAACGCTCATTCGATTCAAAAAACTGTTACTAAGTTCAAGTTCTAAAATAGTTTACCTCGGACTAACCGAATTAAATCAGGGTTACGATGATGACTCTTTCTTTACCTGTTATTGTTACTCTATCTCATCACGCACACGCACATACAACACACACACAACAAATACACAAATATCCTTCCCTCCTCCCGTCATATTCTTTACATAGTAATTGTATTTATTATATTGTACAAATTTTTTTTCGTATAACGCAACTAAATAAATAAAAATCATTTAGAAAAAAAAAAAAAATCAAAAAACTTTTTGAAAACTCAAGTGTAACGAAAAATACTGCTATATAACGAGCGATTGCTATCTAACCTTTTTAAAAAACGTGTGCTATAGTGTAACGACATTGCATTTTTATTTTTTATTGTGTGGGAAATTTATCAATCTTTTTTTTTCTACATGGAGGATAATTATAGAAATAACTGATAATTTAATTAACATAATTAACGCCGACATCAAATGATCACCAGCATTATCATCCATCATCATCATTATATGTGTGTGTGTGCGTGCGTGCAATAAAAATAATGTACATATTATACTATATTGTTATTTTTGACTTGTTTGCAAACTTGATTTTATTCAATGTGTAATGATAATACGAGGCATCCAAAAGCCACAAAAATATTTTTATTTTTATTGTTGCAATTATTTTCTACATTTATTATTATTATTATTATTATTATTATTATGCGGTAGCGATGATTTCATGACTTGTTGGTAAAATATCCTCTGGCTTGGTAAAGAATTTCTATTGGTTAATATGGGTAAATTCAGTTCTTAATGAACATAGCATCCACAATAAACTTCAACGAGACCCCTAAAAGTTATCAAGACAAAAACACTTTGAGGGAACATTTAGTAGATTGTTTGCACGCTGTTGACTAGTTTTTTCTTTCAGCATTCTCTTATGCTTTCTCCTATTTATATTAGGACTATATCGATATAATAATAGTGGAATGTGTGCTTTAGGTACGTTTATTTGAATAATTTGGTTTAGCAATTGATTTATTCGCTAATTTCTGCCGGTAAGAATATAAGTGATTGGGTTAATCAACACAGATTTCTCCCGACCATGAAATACGTATGATTTCATGTGGCACTCTTTTAGTCTTAATATTACTATATATTACAAATGAATTTTCAAATAAGTTGGACAAGTTCAAGGATATGTTTTTTTGCAAAAAAAGGTTATTTTGATATAAAAAGGTCAATGTGGGTTCTTTTTTGAATCGGCTGCTATGTTTGCTTGGGTTGGAGAGAGCTCGTAAACGGAACCCAGCCATTGGTCAACGACAAGAAAAATCATCATATTTAGTGAAACTATTCTTCATATAAATAAACTCCCATATTTTATTAAATTGTTTCATCTTTCAATGGATGCTTTCTCTACCTCTTGACTGCCACATCCTATAAAGTCACCATAAAACATCCTTCATAGTGTAAAAGAAACTTCTAAGGCACCAACATCTTTTTCCACCAACAAAAACGGCAAAGAAAATATATTTTTACGCATTAAAATTGAAATGGTTAGAATCGGATTTCTTTTGAATGGGCCTGTTGTATACAACAAAGGTTTATATAATCTAATACAAAAGTTGATCTGATTACATGCATGTATGTATATATATGTCTATGAATCTATAAGAAAAGGGGGAATGAAAAATAATTATTTATTATGAAGATTCATTCATTGATTGACCGATCCTAAAATAATAGTTCTTATTGTTATGAATTGAATTTTTTATGTGATTAAAATAAATTTGATGACACTTGTCATGAAAATGAAATCTACATGAATTTTGATATGAAATTCAAATTAGCCAATCAGAATTTCATATCCAAACACCCCACCCCAAAATTTTATTATAAAAATTTCGATCACATATTAATAATACATATACATATATATATTTAAATCATTATTTAAAAAATGTTCTAATTATTGAATAATGAATGTGTAGTAGTTAACTCAATTGTAATAAATAATTCAATATTATAAAATAAAACCAATTATTATTTTCTTTAAGTGGTGATTTCAAAAGTCAAGAAAGCGACATCTAAGTCTTTAAAAAATCTTGCAACTTGAAAGATTATTATTATAAGAACCTGAGGAAAAGAAATCATTATTATTAATTGGAAGGTCAAATCATAGCAATTAAATTATTGATATCTCTGCTGAAGATAACAGTTATTATGGAATCATACACAATTGGTGGTGCTTATGTTTCTGCGATGACAGATGGATAACCGCTGCTACAGATCTTGGCTTAAATTGTGGGTAAATTATTGGAATTTTGAATATTTGAATAAGTTTTCTTTTTTATATTTTATTTATATGATTACTAATTAGGTAGTAAATCTGATTTATGCCACGGATGATGAATATACATTATGAATAACAAGAGATATTGTTGGTTGGTCAAAAAGTCTATGTAAATAATGATAAAATTTAATCCATTAAGAAAATACCAAGAATAATTGATTACAAATATACTCGTGGATCTTTTTTTTAAATACATCGGAATTAGATGATGGTATTGTAGATGACAAATTTAAGAAAGCAAATTGGCGTGAGAAATGTTTGTTATTGCTGGTATTGTAAATAGTAGTCGGTTCAAAGATTTATATGGAACTACACTGGTAACTGTTACAAAAATATCATATCCCCCCCAATAAAGTAATAATAAAGATAATTAATGCTTTTTCTCAATTATGTTTGATGTTAGATTTTTAGAATCTGCTAGCAATGGTGCTCATTTTATAGAACTTTGTGCAGTGCATGGTATACTACTAGTATTCCTTCAGACGTCACAAGGATCTACGGCCGATTGAAAAACATGGCGCAAAAATTGTATCGTGCGTCAAATTTAAGTGAAGTGATTATTGAGTATGGTGTTTATGGAAGAGCTTTTAGCTCACGATTACTTTGGATGTGGCTAGTAAGTCATAATAAAAAAAAAATTTTTTTTTGGAAATAAAAAACTATTTATTACTTTAATGATGGTTATTATAATTAAAAAAGAATGCTCGAATATTTGTTATAAAAATGAACAAACAGCAAGTGTTTTTACCCCAATTAAATCATGATGCAATCACAAAAGATGATCAGGTAGGTTTGATCTATTTACGTATGCTATAATAGAAGAACCAGTTGTGAAACATGAAGGAGGTCGCCCTTACTTTTCATTAGCACGTCTATGGAGTTATAAAGTGATAAACCCATCTGATCCTAAGTTCACTTGGTGCAGCATTAAATGCTTCAATTGAAAATTTTTAATGTAAACTCTTATCAAAAGATTATTATTGCATTACAAAAATAAAACAATATTTCAAAAATTAATGATCGTGTGACTTTTTTAAAAAAAGTAAGGGTAGATCATCTGAAAAAAAAACTTTTTCGTGAATAATGTCGTGTGTAAACTTTTCAAAAAATTTTTCTTTACTAAATTGTAATAAATTAACAACATTATTATTATTGAAACCAAACGCAGTAGCACTAACACGTTTATTATCATCAAAATCGTCAATAATACTGCGAAAGAAAAATTATACTTATTTGACTCAATATAAGTTTAATAATAATGTGGTCAATTTACGCCAATTCTCCAATAGTTGCATTAGGAAAGATGAAGCAACCGTTAATTCAATAAAGGTGAAAGCAAATACTGATCCAAATGTTTCTACGAAAGAAACATATGAAAGCATAAAAGAAAAAATAATTAAAGATATAATGTTGGATAATGATGCTATAAAATTAATGACAAGCGAAAAAAATCCAGAGTTAAAAAATGCCGAAGCTTGGAATCAATTGATAATTGAATGTGCTGATAAAGGAAGAACTAAAATATCAATCAGATTATTTGATGAAGTAAAATTTTAATTATTTATGACAATAATAATAATAAATCAATTAATGTTAATGTTAATATTAATTAAAATTTTTTTCTAGATGAAAAAACTTTTAATACTTCCAACTCAAGAAGCATATACAGCAATTTTAAAAAGTCTATCATTGTTTCACTTTTCATCAACAACAGTTTTGCAAGCAACATCAATTATCAATCAAATCATTCAATCAAGTCAAACAAGGCCGGAGATTACACTAGAGATTGGGCATGCAAATTATTTATTAGAAATTTCTCAACGTGTAAAAAAATTTAATTTCGCACTGGAAACTTATGATAATTTTATTAGGAGTGGCAAGTTGAAACCAAATGCTGATACTTGCTTGCAAATCTTGAAAACATGTTCAGCAAATTGTACAAGGCAACCAAAGAAAGCTTATGAAATGGCAACAGATGTTTGGAACAAGTTTGTTAAAAATGATCAGCAGCAGGGCAAGGAAAATGCTAATAATTCAATGATGGTTGATAATGAATTGATTAATCATTTAATTACTGTTTTTAAACTTACTGATCACACACAAGAAGCTTTTGATATTGTTGATAAGTTTTATAGAATTGGTAAATCTGCCATAATAAATTCTTCAGAATCAACAAAGGATGATTCATTGAAATTACCAATTACAAATGATATAATGTATAGTATTTTTAGTTTATGTTTTAAAACAAAACAATTAGGTTTAGGAATAAAATATTGTAACCAAATTATGACAAAATATCCAGATTTTTCACTTGACATCAACAATTATAATAGTTTAATTTCACTTTACAATTTAAATTATCAGTTTAACCAAACTCTTGGAACATACCATGATCAATTTAAAAAATTTAATCTTATTCAAAACAATAACACATTTGAATCATTGATTTTTGCATGTCAAAATCTTCGAGATCTGAACACAGCAAAAGAAATTCTTGAGAATGCTGTTGAGAATCAAATGATTTTGAAATCAACTAGCCTAACAAAAATATTGAGACTGGTGTTGGAACAAGCTAGAACTACAGACAATTATGATGATGTTTGTTGGCTATTGGAAAAAGTGGATAAAACAGGAGACATTGATTTTAATAAAGAAAAGAAGGGAATTATTTTGATTAATGATATGAATGATAAACAACTTCTACATGGTCTTTCATCAGCTTATGAAATTGCATTGCAGGAAGTTAAAGACTTATCCAAGGAGAAAAGAGCTCAATGGGTAGAAGATAAAAAGTTCTTTGATCATAAGGCTGACAGGTTGAATGAATCCATATCAAAATCTTTTTCACAACAACAAAATAGTATGTATATAGATAATTCGAGGATAAAAAAAACATACCAAGGAAGACAGAACACACAAAATGATAAGAGCTGGTATGACGATCCTGATGAAAATATATCAAAACAATTTCCAAATTTAAATCATAGATATAACAGTAATAATAAAAATAACCCTTTCTCAACTGGAAATAATAAATCTTTTAATCCATTGCTACAACCACAACAACCACAGCAGCAGCAGCAGCAGCAGCAACAAAGATCACCATCACCACAATATCAAAAACCATATTATGGTAAAGGATATTATTCTCCAAAATCATCATCATATATGGGAAATAGTGCACCAATTTATTATAATCTGGATGAAGGTTTTAGTCATCCACCACAATATCAAAAATCATACTATAGTGAAGGATATTATTCTGCACCAATGTATTATAATCCCAATGAAAGTTTCAGTCATTCATCACCATATGGTAGCTTTAGGAGACAGTATAATAGAAGACCAAGTGGATATTATAGACCACCACATATTAATAGAAACTCTGGATATCATGGACCAACTACTAATAATAATTGATCATTGCTCTAAATTTTTTTTTGTA